TGTAGGGTGCAACATCATGGGACGGAAAATTTTCAGGCAAAGTTGGCACAATTTTGTTGATTATGAAAAGATGGATATTCAATGTGGTCAAATGTTGATTTTTTTTCCATTAAATATTGCTCAAGTATAAAAAGATGGGGTGGTGAATTATTTTATGTTCTTTTTTTGTAAGCTAATTAACATAACTAGTACTAGTAATACCTGGAAGGACAATTTTTTAAAAAAAAAAAAGAAAAAAGTTCTGTATTTTTAAAAGTGTAGGCAAACTAGATTTTAAAAAAACGTACAAAATATGTCAAATGCCATACTTAAAATGGTCTTTAAAACAAACTTAAAAAAAAAATATTCATGCAAATGTAATCTTCTCTTCATGGCTTTGGCATTTTCGGTGGATGTATAACAAACCTTTGGCTTAGTACACAATTTGGTTCTTTTTATATTTCTTACTATTTATACAGAAGTCTAAATATAATTTCATTTCAGAGGTGAAATAAGTATTAAAAACTAATTCTAAAAACTTGGAAATATAAAGTTTAACAAGAATAAATTAAAGCACAACACATTTTACAAGTAGTTTAAAAAAAAACAACACATGAACGCTAGCAGATAATGTAAACTACTAAAAGCATTGGCAAGATCTAGTTCATTAAATACTTTGTATATACATTTTTAAAAAACAAGTATATTATTATGTTTAAATTAAATTTAGACAAAATTACATTTTAAATAATCAATTGATTTGCATTTTTATAGTTTTAAATTAACAAAAATAGTAAATACAATAAGTTGTAGACATAAATTGAGATTAACAGTACACATTTTAGTGTAAAAATAGTATTTATATTTTGTAATAAGCTCATGAGATTTAAATCAATCAATTTTTTAATCTTAAGTTTTCTTTAAAATGTCCTCAAGCACACAAAAATAAATTCTTATAAAAATTTGGGCATTATCATCTCAGGACAAATTTTATGTTAATTGGTTTTTTAAATTTACCAATATTTTGAATATGGTCATAGAAACTAATGGACAAAGAATGTGAAATATTGATTCATCAAATACTTACAAAATTCAATCTTATAAAAGAAATATTTATGTTTTTATAAATATAGCTAAACAGAAATACATCAGCATCAGAATCACACCCAAATATTTATACAATATACAGACTTGCACAACAAATGTGTGCAAAACAATTTCTTTATTTTCTTTGATATAAGAACTAATACATTCAATTGACAAAATTTATTTAATCATTTAACAAGGCACAAAAGTGACTAACAATATCACATTCATGCTTATGATTAATATTTTTTTTTTTTTACAAATTTTAGATTTGTAATAAAGGCACTAAGTTTAGTAAGTTATACTTGGCAAAAACTAGGAATTTGTAAGCATTAAAATAAACTATATAAATAAAGATATCAGTGTAAAATAAAAGTAATGAATTTTCAAAACAGAAAATATTTTGAGACATTTATAAAAATAATTTTGAAAGAAGGAAAACTAAATATATATTATGTAAAGCACACAAATTTGTTATTTAGTCAAATCAAATTTCAGTCAGTCACACATCTAAGTGATGGAATAAATAGTTTAAAAGTATAATCAAGAAGTAATTAATCTTAAGCCAGGATTGCCCTGTTGTCACTGAAAACACATTTTTTTTTAAACAACCCAGAACAAGTCAGGGCACTAAGACATAAATAATATACATGGAATTTGAACACAGCCATTGGGAGTTTTTCATAAGACATTCATTCCCATGGCAACCAGTGAAGAGTATGATGAGTAAAGTACGCAATAGATGGTTGCTCACATCTCCATACCTTTCTATTCAGTAGCTAGTCGATTTATTCCATTCACAGCAGGGTGGTGACTGGATAAAATAATTTACTTATTATTTCAGATGATGCTGTGTTCAGATCTCCGTCAAAACAAGGAAGTGTAATGCAAAAATTAGAAAGATTTTTAGTCAGTTGTATTTACACGAAGGTAAACTATATAGAGGTGGTCAAGATTTATTAAAGCATGTATGTGAATACTTTGTAATGGACGGCTGTAAATTATAACAGCATAAATACAATATTTATCTATTAATGCTTGCATAACAAGTATATTGTTTGGTATTAAAAGTATCTTTTCATAGATTTTTAGCAACAAAATGCCAGTTGATCAGATAGAGGTTTAGATTAATTATATTTTAGATGAAAATAAATGCAAAATGTTCCAACAGTGTAATAGCAAGTACTTGAAACATGGCTAACTCCAAAAGTTTTTAACATATGAACGAATTCCTTAGCTGTACAAATATAATCAAAATTAAATTATATATTTATGTAATACATTAATTTAAAAAAATTAATTAAGTTATTATTAGAATACTTATTAGTTTCTTAATATACTATTAAAATGGACGGTAAGTAATTTTAAAACAATTATATAAATACATCTTATAATTCATAAATATATTCTTTCAGCATATAGTTTAAGGCCTTCTATATAATTTAATTGACCCACATCACAAAACTGATGAATTAGGTGTTAAGGCATGTTTAGACTTGGGACTATTCTTGAGCTAGTTCCAGAAAATTAATTTTAGTGAAATTTTAATGCATTCTCCTTATAAATGTAATAGTTGCATTTCAATTTTTAAAAATTAAACATTCAAATTCAATACATCATCAAAGTTAAAATAAACTTCAGACTTAATATAGTGCATTAGTGCAAGCATTATTTACATTAATAACAAATTTATAAAATGATACAAATACTTGACACAAGGACATTTTAAACACACACAAAAAAAGAAAGTTTTTCTCCATTTTTTGGAAACCCAAAAATGTTATGATTAAACACCAAGCAGACTTGCAGCAGAATCTTTTGACTCAAAGATTTTGTCAATTGTGGAGCTCTCTACCCCAAGAAGGTTGTGTAGCATGTCATCATCATTGACCTCAAGATTGTTTTTGTTGTTGTTGTCATCATTACCACCAATGTGGCCAGAGTTTTTCAAATCCATTGGCTGAACTGATTTTTCCACTTCTTTTGTTTTATCTATACAAAGTTTAATAAAAAATGTATATTTTAATCAAATTTTAAAATGTATGTTAAATTTACTCAGATTTTTGCAAAACAATAAACATTGTAAGGGTAAATTTACTTTTAAAGTAAGATATTTTAAGATATAAGCAGAATCCCTACCTTCATCTGATTCAGACTCCTCCTCATCTGAACTTCCATCTTGGATGTTTATCAAATCTGGGTGATGTTTGGCTTTGTGTCTGTTCAGGCTGTGCTTCAGAGTAAACTTCTGGAAACATATATCACACCTATAAGGTCGCTCACCTGTAAAATCAAAATAACAAATTATTGCATTTTTCAATTAATTGAACTGCCACATTGGAATAAGACCTGAAAGGGATGAAACAATTTAAAAGCGTACCTGTATGTGACCTCATATGGCGTCGCAGGTCCTGAAGTGACCAAAACCTTTTTGGACACAAAGCGCAGTGCACCTTCCTTTGTAAATAGTCAGTGGTGATGACCTCGTCCAATACCCCTGTGTCGGGCAAGTCTTCATTACAGTCTTCTACATCAACAGCATCTTGGGATGGTAGGCCTAACTCAGCTTTGTTGGTGAGGAGGAAGGTTTTTGCAGGATCTAAAGAAGATACAGCAAAGATCAATGCTGGGAAAAAATTTTTAGAGCACCCAATTTGAACCCTGGAAATCTTAGGCGAAGTCTAAGACAAAACGGAATCTAAATCACTTCATTGTTTGTTTAATTGGTTTATTTGATTCAGATCTGTGGTACATTTCAATGTCTTTCAATGTGCCTAATATAGTTTGGTGAAAGACAAGGTTGTTGGGTTAAATGCCAAGGAAAGAGATTGATAAACTCTATTGGGTGAACTTCAAGTCAGAAAAGATGCTTGATAGGGTTAGATTTAGGTTTGTTAGGTATATCTTATGCAGCATAAAACCTACAATGTTTTATAGTGTGTGACAACTTATTAACAAGTATATGTTTTTGCTAGTAGGTCTATAGCCTACAGCAGCACACTACATTTTTTGTCTGCTGCTATCACTTTTAGGATCAGGGTTTAAGTTGTAATGTTAGCTCAAAAATAGTTTTGTTGCATCTTACAAGCTTTGATAAGTATAATAACAGATCATTTGAATGATGTAAGTGCCGCTTTACATCAAGGTTAACATATTTGTAACCAAAGTTGCGTTTTGTATTTTAAAAAAAATTACAATTCATATTGATGTATAATATATGTCTGAGGTGGTTTGCATCGAACAGCGTGGCCTAGCAGTGGAGCGCTAGACTGCTAACCTGATAGTTTCAAATTCGAATCTGGGTTCCAGTTAGTGGAACGTCCATGAGTCCACCCAATTCTGATGGGTATCTAACTCACGTTATGGAAAGTAAACACGGCTGGTTCTAGCGCTGACCACATTACCCCTTTACATGCCAAGGTCAAGAAACGTGAACTCCACTTCATCTGTCCAATGGATTGTTAGGTCTAAAGGAATCTTTACTTTTTTTTCAAGGTGGTTTGCAACTCAGACTTAAAGTTCTGAAACAGATTCAAAAATTTTGATTCAACTTACTACCATCCTGGGCCTGTTTTTCTAGAATATCCCTCCCCTTCTTGCACAGCTTTTCAATCATTTTGTCCAGCCTTGTCCCATACACCTGGATGTTGCCAATGTCATTTTTCTCCTTCAAGTTGCTCCAATCTGCCTGGTGAGCCTGAGACTGGTGCTGAAGACACTCAACTCTGTTGCTGAATGACTTCTCACAGAGATAGCATTTGAAAGGGAGATCACTACTGTGGTCATTCTGAAATTTTAAAACAATGTCTTGCAATTAAAATTGTTGGAGTAATAATATATTATGTCCACAAATTTATTTTTTAAAATGTGTATAAGACAATAATGCAGAATTTAAATAAACGAAATATAAAAATAATTTAAAATGTACTTTTTACTAAATGTTACACACTGTAAAACATCATATGTTTTATACTGCATATTAATGTCACCTAACTATTTAAATTTGCTACTAACTATTCCTTCTTTGACTTCAATATAAAATAATTTAAGTTGAACAAAAAAACCTCAAATATGCCTTTATAAAATATATATCGTGAACATTGAAGTCCACACTGATTTGACAATAATACAACTGGCTAGCATGTTTTGGCCAAACATACATAGCATATCATAAAAAATTGAGTTGTAGACCAGACTGCCCCTGGAGTAGAGGAAGAAGAGTTCTTCTGTTTCTCTGACCTCAGCAGAAATACAGACCAGCCCAAATACACTCTACTTCACCAGTCCAAATACAAACTCTACTTCACCTGTCCAATGGACTATTCATTCTCTAAATTCCTTGCCACAGGTAAACCCAAAAGTTACAAAAAAAAAGATAAAGCAAAGTCATCACCTTCAGATGTTTCGTCAACAATTTCCTGTTGAAAAAATTCTTGTCACATTTCAAACATCTTGCGTGTTCATGAATCACCATGTCTCCACTGATTTCCTCCATCGAAGGCAAATGGCGTAAGTGGCGCTCTATGGCTGGTGTAATGATGAACTTTGACCCCTCCTCTAAGGCACGCCTGTGGCTGTCCTCCAAAGCTTGGCGCACACTTTTATCCAGGAAGTTTTTCATGGTGTCTGTAAGAACCGTGTCGTCAATACCAGGCCTGGATGTCAGACCAGATGCCAGCTTGGAAGGCGGAGTCAAGCTGAGGTTGTTGTTCAAGGATATTTTTCCGTTCGTTTCCGGTTCGTCTTCACTGGCCAGGTTGAATATAGCATTTCTTTTCTTGTGGGGGTCCCGCGCGGATATTATGTTGTTCCCACTGTGATTGCTGTCACTGTCGTGAGTGTAGTTCTGTATCATGATGTCCTTATCTGACATTCCACCTCTCATCTGAAAATAATTGAACACAACGGCTGGACTTAGAATTTTGTTCATTTGAAAGTTTTTAAGTAAAACAAAGTTTAAATAATTTGAAATTATGACTTCATAAAAAGATGGTATTAACAATTTTGTAATGTATATATTTTTTTTTAAAGTTAAATTTATGTAAAAACAATTAAGCTTTAAAAAAAAACTTCATAAAAAAAAACTTGAAGATTTCACCAAAGGTTAGATATAAGTAATCCAAACCTAACTATGTTGCCTAATCCAAAATGCAGCATTAATTTTTTATTTATTTTATAATCAGCTTATAATTTTTTTTTTTATAAATTAACGCACAAAAAACTGATATTTCAATAAAAAGAAAATCAATTATGTAAAAAAAAATGTGTTTACAATTCATACAAATAGGCTTATACTATAAGACCTATGTTTTTCTTTATAATCCAATTAAAATTTTTTGACTAATTTGTTTTTTACCTCTACAAGATTATTATATTCTTCCTCATCCTCATAACTGGGACCAACGCCGTTTTGCATGTTCTCCTCCCCCTCTGCATCAGAGAGTGATTTATCAATGGCCTCAAGAACTCTGGCAGGGGGTGAGACGCCACTGTGGCGGTCTTTGTAGTGTTTCACCAGGTTGCCTGCAAGTATAAAATATGGATCAGATTTTAGATTGTTCTGGTGTTAATAAAACAAATCATAACTGTTTTGTTTCTATTGAGCTGTGCTGATAGTAATTTAATTTTGGGTTAATTTTTGTGACAGAACCATATTATTGTTTTCAAGGCACAACCAGGAAGAAAAACAGGTAAAAACAATTTCACTTAAAAGCTGATAATTTAACAGGCAATAGTTCATAGTTTTTAAATCTATTTCAGGTATAATGATGTAAAAACAAATATCAATAAAATATTTATAATCAGTACCCATTGTTTGTCATAAACTGTTTCTTTAATGTTGAATGGATTTGTTTCATAAATGAGGATGGTTGGAGATTTTCGTTATTCAGACAAAAACAATATGGAAAATGTAAAGAAACAAATATGCTATGACATACTTTGAGTGGAGAAGGAGCTGAAAACACAGAGATGACATTTATAAGGTCGGTCCATGGTCGACCTGGAGGCTGGGTCCAGCATGTTCACGTTGTGTTTGCGAATCAAGTGGCGCTCTCTGTTGGACTTTGTGGAAAATGTGACTGGGCACCTGGGACATTTAAAGGGCTTTTGACCTGGACATAAAAAAAGTTATTTATAAAAGTGTATGCAGGTGCACCAAGTGATAATTGTGATAATTATAACTAAAAATATATAAATAAAGAAATATTTTGAATACTTGAAGAAGATAAAAATATATACAAAAAAGGGTTTAACCATTTTAAAAAAAAACATCTAACAACATAGCATTAAAACTTATATTTTGTACTTTGAGGAGATATTATGGCAAATATAGAATTTTATTAAAGTTTAATAGGTTTAATGTATATTCTAATAAAAAGTTTGTCAAAAAGTGGTTCCTGGTTTTTTTTTTTTTTAATGATACTTTTTCTCTGTACATATTTTGTTTCTACTGATATTATAACAAATGTCAACTATTAAAGTTTAAATATTTTGTGTGTGACAAAACAAAGTCTAAAAGTAACACAACCAACCAGTGTGGGTGAGGAGGTGTCTGTTCAATGAACTGAGCCAAGGGAAGCAGCGAGGACAGTAGGGACATGAAAATTTGTGGGGGGAGTCTGCGTAGGAGTTTCTTTTTTTCTTGGTTAGTGAGCCAGGGTTTTCTTTGGAGACTTTCTCTATCAGCTCAGCTATGGCCTGCTCACTCATGTTGCTCTTGTCAGGCTGGTTCTGGGGGGTCAAGAAATACAAGTTGTTAAAACAGTTTGACATTAGATATTATTAATTTTTATAAGCTTAAAAAAAATTGAATCTTTAAATAATTTTTTTTATCTTTTAATAATTTTAAAAATGTAACTAAACCTCAACTTATACAATACTGAAACCTAAAATTTTACACTTAAGAATAAAAGTGCTAGACTGCCAACCCAAAGTCTAGAGTTTGAATCTTGTAAGTACATAATCTTTGAGTCCACCCAGCTCTAATGGGTACCTAACCCCCATTAGGGAAAGTAAAGGTGGCTGGGCATAGTGTTGAATACACTATCCCTTCATATGCCGCATCACAGAAACAGGTGAACTCTACTTCACTTGCCCCATGGACCATCAGGTTTGAAAAGGGAACTTAACTTTAGTTTAAGAATAAAATTTAACTCCATTTATTACCTATGTCAACAGGACAGATAAAGAATAGTTAATTGTTTTTTGCCCACTAAGCAGTTATGTATAACAAAGATAAATTTAAACAGACTTTCAAAACAATCTGTTTCAAAACAATGCACTATTTACAGTTATGAGTAACTTTTGAAGACAAAACCACACCTTATCAAAAGGGAACCTTCTTTCTTTAAAAACCTCTGGGAGACTTCCATCAATTAAGGCCACATTGACAGTGACAGAGTGGAGATCTTTTCCCTCCTCCGATGCAGAAGAGGCTTCATCCTGTCTGGCATTTGAGCCTTCATCAGACCTTGAGCTGAGCTGATGAGCTGACTGGGAGATGGAGAACATGTTCTCCATGCTCAGGTTGGAGTCCTCACCACTGCTCACAGACTCTGATCTACAGGTCAAATTGAGACAATGTCTGTTATTATAAAAAAAATAAGAGGCTGTCTGTTTTTATAAAAATAAGACAATTGTTATAAAAAAAGAAAATATCTTATTATAAAACTAAGATGTTGTCTGTTAGTATAAAAAAAAGACTGTTATTATAAAAATAAGACAACTTTTATAAAAAAAGACAATATCTGATTATAAAAATTAGATGCTGTCTGTTATTATAAAACTAAGACAATGTCTGTTAATATAAATAGGAAAATGTTATCAAAAAGACAATATCTGATTATAAAAATAAGATAATGTCTTTTTTTATGTAGGATAACTAAATCCTGGTGTTGTTTAAACAAATATTTTAAAAAGGATCCATCAAGACAGTATTTATTTAATTTTATCAAAAACTATTTTAAAAAAGTACATTTCAAGTTACGAGAATAACTAAGAATAGTGTTTCAATATAGCTTTTAAACTGTTTCAAACACTAGGCAAGTTTTAATAGCTGTTTTCAATGACTTACTTCCCTTCTTGTTCATCTTCAGTCTCTGCAATCATTAAAAACCCTTGAAACTTCTGGGCATCTGTGGCATCAAGGATTTTATTGACAGAGGCAAGTTCACAACTTGAATCACTTTCAGCTAAAAAAATCCAAATGTGATGTTAAGTAACATGTGATATTAAGAATTATTTTTTTAAATTATATTACTTTTTTAAACACAATTTTTTTTTTACCTGAGAAAGTATGTTGGAAAAAATATTCTAAACTCACATGAACTTTCTTTAGTCGGTGAGGTTTCTGAATCTTCATTATCATCCTCTACTTTTGTGGCAGTCTGAGCACTGAGTTCTATAGGTAATCTGGATGGGACTGGTGGGAACATTATTAGAAATGCCATTAGTATTTTGAATGCTGTTTACTTGAAATAAAATACCAATACAATTGTTTAGTTTTATTTTTAAAATATTTTAAGACAACAAATTATTGCTAGCAAAATGAAATAAAAACAAACCAATTAAACTATCAGTTTTTCACTTATGCTAAAGATTTAAAGTAATTTAAAACTGAATGCAAGTGTCTTATATTTTCATAGTAATTTTAAAGATTACACTTTTTTGTATTATATTTTTAGGTATATCAAAATGTTTGAAGATGAAACAAAATGTGTTTATATTGTCAGATCTCAAGGTGGAGAATAAACTGAAGTTTCAGGCAAATTCGTCCATTCAGGCTGAACTATGACCAACAATATAGGGAGTTATTTGTGAATTTAAACTATATTTTAACTTTCTCAATACACTTTATATTAAAGTGTATTAGAAATTGTACTCTAGATGTAGACCTATATTTTTTAAAGAATAAATAAACTGAAAAGACATTTAATTGAGCGGTTTGTCAAGGAGTATTTTTGTGCAGGAACAGCGGCTGCCGTGTAACCAAATTTAGCAACCTTAAGATCAAGTTTTTCTTTTTCCACTAGTCCATTTTCTTCCATATATTGACGGGAACATGTTAAATTTTATTTAATGAGTAGGATCAGACTTAAAAGCCAAGTTTTGATTATATTTAAACTTTGTTTAATTCTTATTTTATTTTTCTTCTAAAAATGGTTGCAATAAACAGCCACAAAGTTGTAGCGTAGCAATCATTTCATTAGATTTTTCTACAAAGTAAGCATGCACTGATTAAAATAATAACATTTCATGTGTCGGTTCTAAAGATTTTTGTGAAGTTTTGAGGCAGCAAACAGAACTACCAAAGAAAATTAGCTTGGATAAATTGTTAGTTACCTGCTTGACCTGGAAAAGAGCTTCCCTCTTTGTTTACAGTTTGCAAGGCCTCAGGTCTTTCTACTTCTGGGCTTTTTTCAACTTTAGGGAACAGGGAACGGGAACTTGATGGAACCAATGGGTTTAGGGTTCCTGAGGGAATCAGAAGGGAAGGGAGAGCACTGGGGAGGAAATTCAACTTCTGAGATGACAGACTTTGGGGTGGGGTTAGTTTAGTCTGAGGTGGGAGCAACGCACTGTACTGTGAGATCAACTGGTGGTACGGGGGAAAGGCCGGGTGTTTTAATGCAGGCAACTGTAATGCCGAGCCCTGCACATTTAATTTAGGCGATGTCTGGGTGTGTCCAAGGAGAGATAACTTCTGAGGCAGCGGCTGCTGGTTAGCCCCTTGATGACTGGTGCTAGATGCGTAAAGGGGAGACAACTGGTTGTTGTTGCCGTCACTTTTGCGGAACATTTTATCAAGCGAGGCGGGCGGGTGTTTTTTACTGGCATGAGGCGAGAGTGTTGAGGTTCCTGGCTGATGTGGAATCTGCCTTGGAAAGTCATAAGAACTCTGTGGAAGACAGAGTAATATGAGCTCCATTAGGCATCGACAAACACATTCATTACAGCATAACTACATTCTTAATGTTCATACATGAAGTTACTATTGTTTTTTGGACGCTTTTTTAAATATTGTTTTAATATTGTTTTTTAAACAATTTTTTAATTATAAAATTAAGGATGAGAAAGCAATAGTTATATTTTTTAAAGTTTTGTTTTTGAGCTAAAATTTATTTTATTTCAAATTAATTTTTACATTTAAAAAAATTAATGTCAGGATAAGTTATGAATTAAGATAGCAGTCAATACATTTAAAAAAAAAAAAACAACAGAAAAGTAAACAATTTTACTGCACAAAAAGTTTATTCATTGACTTGACAATAGAAAAGACATGGATAATTTTAAAACATTCAGTTGAAAATAAAGTATTTATTGTAAAAAAAAATAGTTTTAAGTAGAAATGTAAGCAACAGTTAATGGAAACTGTTTTTCATGAATTTATTAATAAATACTTCAGTCCAATTATGTACAATTTACTGATTGAAATTAGCTTGAGCCATGTAAATTTATGAAATTAAGTTGTTTAATACAAATAATAATTAATAAAATAAAATGATATGAGCACACAATTCTAAAAAAGCAGATAATTTGATCTGATATTGTTCAGCATTGTGATTGATTAATTGAGCAATTGTGAAAAATGTGACAAGTTATTTACTACTCACAATTTTATTTAGCCAAGAACTAGACTACAAGCCACATAGAAATGTTAAGTCGAAAATTCCATTATATGCCACACATACAGTCCTCAGAAAAAAGAATATTGAAATGAAGATGAAATAAGAACTAAAAGCCACATGCGTCAAACTAGTGCGCCTTATTCACCAGGCTCACATTGGTATTTTGGCTGTATTGATGCTGCCTTATAAAAAAAATATTTACAAACTGATACCGGTACAACAAAACGTTTAAAAAAATAATTGTAAAATGATTATTTAAAGAATATTACAAAAAGTGTTTCTAGAATGATTAAATAAAGAAGTATAAGAAAGTGTTTTTCAAATAACAGGTAAACTAGAACAAGGAAGTAAGAGTTTGTAGAGAGATTTAGTAAAGAGATCTACTATAAGAAAGTTTTTGTGGATTGATAGAATAAAGATAGTTAGAATTTCAAAAAAGAAGTAGGTGTTGGTGGAATGACTAACTTAATTTGCTCCTTAATTGCACACAATATACAACTAAATTTACAAAATGAAAGAATATATCTTTTTATGCAAGAAAATAAATAATTTGAATTAGTAACTAAAATGTTAATTGAATTGTGTACAAAAACTACACTCAACAATTTGGTAATAGTTGCTGAAGTTTGAGCATGTTTTTAAATAGCTGCACAAGTTATAAGCACTCCATTAGTATATACAGAATTCAAGTTATATTCTATTATAAGCAAAAAAAAAACAAAGGTAATCTAAGGTTATATAGCATACAGGAATTTAAAAAAATTAAATTGTGTAATGCCCGTTGAATATTGGTCTACATATATAGGCCTATACATCTGATTTTCTTTAAGTTTTATTTTTTAAATAATTAATCAAAAAAAAAAGTTTGTTTTATAGGAATGTTCCTCTTATGGGAACCTAAAATGTTCCCCATTTTTATACACAAGTTTTCTAAACACAGAACCATTTTTAGCATTCTCTACCTGGTTTAGCAGTGCTGTCCCTTTGTCCCAGGGGCTAGAGTTAGAGGACTTGGACACTGACAAGTCTATAGGGAGTTCCTCCAGGGCGTGGTCCTCCTCAGACAGGGAGCTGGACCTGGATCCACTCAGCAAGTGTTGGCGGTGGGAGGCGTAAGGAACAGCCCGGTCCACGTCTTGTTTACTAAAATCTAGAGGTTTATCCACGGCTTCGGTTTTGATGGCAACCAGAGCAGGGCTGGTGTTCTGGTACCTTGATGGTTTGAAGAAAACTGACTCAAGGGATGCGGAAGATGGGGATGGGGAGATGGTGGATTTAGAGTGAGCAGGGGGTGGGGTGTGGGGCTGGTTAGGGTTGGAAGGGATGGCGGCTAAGTTTTCGATGCTTATGATTAGCTTCTCGTGGATCTTTGTGGGGGTGTCGGAGTGATGTTTCTGCATGTGTCTCAAAGCACTTGGTCGTGAGGAAAATGGTTTCTGAAAATGCATGATACGGGAAATTAATTTTAATTAATTAAAAATTATCATTTTTGATGATACAGTTACTTTAAAGTAGTTTTTTATTTTATTTTTAAAGTAAATTTTGGAATTTGAAAAGCTTTTAGTTTGGGAAAAATTAAGAGTTACCAACCTTGCAGAGTTTGCACACATAGATCATATGGCAGTTAGGGCTGACATGAATGTGCTGCTGTAGAGCTCTCCAGTGTTGAAAGTCCACCTTGCACACTTTGCAAATGGTGTCCAGTGGTTGTCCAATGCTGCTACTAGAGGCAATGAGAGTTGGTGATGGCGATGATCGCTTGTCAGCTATTATATATTTGTTGCATATCAACTTATCAGAGAGCTGGTCTTTTTCCAGTCCATGTTTTTGTCTGCAATATAATTTATGATCAAACATAGTTAAAAATTCATTCAGGTTCAGTTTCTTAACTAACAGTGGCTTTTAATGTAAGATACTAATTTAGGCTTTTATAAAATTTTAGGCAGGACAAAGCAGTGCTTTTTCTAGAAACCCATCCTCCCACCCCCAATGGCATTGCTGTTATTATTTAGGCTTGTAATTATTGTCGTTATAAGGCTATAGATGACTTGTGCTACTCAAGTATCCTTTTAGCCATACCACATAATTTTGTTTTTCAAGTTTTCTCCATACTATCATACCCGACCACAGTAACCCAGATCCTTACTTTATAGTACATGGGACAGCATGGCCAAATGGTAGGATGTTTGACTGCTAAACCAAAAGTCTCTAGTTTGAATCTCAGACTCACACTTGTAGGACATCCCTGTGTCTGCCCAGCTATGATAAGTAGTTGACTCAAATTTGGGAAAGTATCACGGAAACAGTCGAACTCTACTTCACCTGCTCTATTGTCCACCAAGTCCTAAAGGGCAACTTATACTTGATGGTCTAGTACGACTGAGCCACAGCTATCAAGCATTAGAGTAGATGTAGCTTTGAATGTACTCACTTCATGTGGCGCTCACAGTTGGCCTTGGTGGTGAAGGAGTATTCGCAGATGCCGCACTTAAAGGGCCGTTCCCCGCTGTGGGTTCGCATGTGGCGCAGAAGTGTGCTCTTGTCAGAGCTGGAGTAGCTGCACACCTTACACTGGAACTGGGACGTCTCCTTGTGCTTGCGTTGGTGGTCTAGAAGATGATGAACAATATATATTAAATACAAATATTAAACAAAAATATACAACAATACAAAAGAGTTTCCTTATCTTTGATGTTCTTTATAAATCAACAAGAACTAACTTTACTTACTACACTAATTATTTTCAATCACAATTAAACACATTTTGGGAAAAATAAACAGCACTTTTTAATTTTAAATTCAGAGGATATAAATCAATAATAATTAAAAAACTCAATTAAGCTACAACTTCTAATTTAATTTGTATTAGGATTCAGATAATTAAAGGTAAATAATTTAGTTGAAATTTTTCACATGCCTGCATTACAAGCAAAATGAATATGGTAGTTTAACTGTTTTTTCAGATTAACATGCAGAAGGATATTTATTACAAGATGCTGTCACTGCAGTTGAACTTCACAACCATTTAAATTGTTGATATTTAGCAAGTGAAGATGCTCAAATGATGCAGCAAAATCAAAATACAAAAAATAAAATGTGATGCTATTGTAGGATCTAATTAAGATGCCCTTTTAAAAAACTGCTCAACATCATTGCAACCAAAAAAATATAAGGCAACAACAAGAATTTTTTAAAAAATTGGTAAAAAATTTAAAACAATTTTGTACAATTTAAATTAAATAAGCAGAGATCATTCACTAATAGTTGTAAACCATCAAACAATGTGATATAACAAAGGAACATTTCATCTTACCAATCCATAAACACTGTGTAGGCAAAGAGTTGAAAACAAAAATATTCATACTTAATTATTGCTTTATGTGCTTTTCAAATAAACAGCTGAAATTTACTCATTATTTCTAGTACATACAATTTTTTTAAACAAAATAAATTTTACCCCCAATTCACTCACGCATTAAATGTTTAGAAGTGTATAATGGTAGTTAATATAATTAATTTAAAAACCGTAGTTGCTGAACCTAGGCTAGATAGAAGGCCTACACCTTTAACTATAAGCGAATGACCACACAAGGTTGGTAAATACAAAGCTAATATTGTTTCTTAGTTCTACTTCTATGGTTTGCATATTGGAGTAAAATACTATTATGTGTTCTTATAGGACACCTTCATGAAATACAAGAAATATTAAAACCTGAATTCATCCATCTTTTCTAGTGTAAGCCACAAAACCTGTCTTAATATATGTTTATTATTTGACGCTACATTTTTAGAAAAAAGTAGACTTACATTTTAAATCTCTGGGACTGGAGAGTACTACATCACAGTACTTGCATGGAAACATGGGTGGCATCACACAATCCATAGACTCTGCTGGACTCTCCTGCAAGCCTTGTCCAGAGTCACTCCCAGGAGATGGGCTTGGTGACGCTGAGGCATGGGATCTGGAGGGAGGAAGTCTGGAGGAATGCGGAGGCTGGAACGCTGAGGAGCCAACTGGCGATGTTGACTTTAGGGAATGTTTGTATAGAAGATGGCTCGGGGGTAATACTAGAGACTTGTAATCATTCTCTTGTTTAAACTTGAGGCTAGGTGAAGATTTGATATTGGATTCAGAGATTTCTTCTTCATTTTCGGAACTGGCGTGTTTTCTGTTTTCATCTTTGATCATTTCATCGTCTCCATTAATACTTTCTGAGCTTTCCATGTCATCAGTGCTCTGGTCAGGCTCAATTTTTATGTCTGCGTCCTCTTTGGCTTTCAGACCAAACTGAAATAAAAAATAGTTTTGGGTCATGAGCTCAGCCGCCTCAGTGGTGGGCTTTTTGTGGGTTTCCTCAAACTTGCAGTCAGCCACGTGCTTCTGCATGTGCTCCTGGAGCCGGGTGGATTCGGTGAAGTGGCAGTTGCACATGGGGCACACCGTGTACTCCTCCGGAACATGGGACGCCTCATGAAGGTCTTTGGCGCCTTCCACTGGAAACTCCTTATCGCATTCTCTGCACTTAAACAATGGAGATTTGGACCCCCGCAGTCCTGGGCTACTTTCACAGAAATATTTGGCTATCAGGGGGAACTTTTTACAGGTGAAACTGGCAAAACCCAGGGGCTGAAAGCCAACGTTGCTCTGACTGTTTCCAGGTGTGGGGAGGCCGGGTGTGGTGGGGGAAGAGGTGGGGGATGAGGTGGGGGATTTTTTGACAGTTTTGGGATCAGGATCAGCGAGAGGTTCCTTAGCTTTATGATGGGTCAGTATGTGGAGTAATAGACTCTCTTCTGACTTAGCCACTGTTTTGCAGGTCTGTTAAGGAATAAATGTGTATATTCATGGAGTTAATAACATTTTAAAATACAACCATTTATTATTGTGAGATTCTAAAGAGAAGGGTGCCATCACCAATAGTTAGTGGTCTTTTAAAAAGATTTGTTTTTTTTTAAAAATATAATCTTATAGACAGTTTAAGCAATCCTTTTTGGTTAATTTTTGTGAGTGAAAATACAAATTTTTTTGATGCTACGATTGTTTTTCTATACCGTGTCAATTAAAAATTGTTTTTCTCCGTTTCCTGTTAAATGAATATTTTAAAATGTTTCCATGGCTAATACACATTTACAGGATTAACGAGGTCAATCAACTCACCTCACAAGATGATCCGTTCTCAGCCTCCAGCTTTTTATCCACAATCACATGACTTTCCATGTGAGCCGTTAGTGAGAAGTCATTGGTGAACTCCTCGTGACAAGTGTTGCAGGATAATACTTGCTTGGTTCTTATATCCGGGCTCGGCTCCCGCACACGGCTAACAAAATTTGGGGTTATACAAGGTTGCTTGGCCAGGGATTCTCCAGAAGTTGGATCCTTCATTGCCTGATGGTACATAAAAAAAATTTTCATTAAAATAATGAAATTTTAAACATATATTTACAATTATTTATTATAGTTATTTTGTTCACTTAATGTTTACTCAGTTGTAAAGCTATCATATACTAACATTTTTGCAATCTACAGTATATTTTCTGTTTTATTAGCACACAGCAAGTAAAAAACAACAGAAACTTACAGAAAAATAAGCTGCCATCTGTGATGTATTCCAGGGTGGATAAGAGAATGCCGGATGTGTGGGTGGAAAATAATACGCTGTAAAAATAAAATTAAAGTTCTGCATTTTATGTAAAGTTGAATATAATTTTTTAAATCAAAGCTGGGATGTAAGTATTGATAAGCATAACAACAATATTTCTTTCTACACTGCATGGAGTGCATTGGGCCAATATGAAATACAACTGATGAGATTGATTCACAGCAAAATTAGCACCTTAGCAACATAAAAGAGAAAAAAAAATGGGACTGCATGGCCTTGTGGTAGAGCTAACCCAAAAGTCTCAAGTTTGAATCTGGGTTCAAGTAGGTAGAGTGTCCCTGAGTCCGCCCAGCTCTGATGGGTACCTAACCCATGTTAGAGAAAGCAAAGGCGGCTGGGTATAGTGTTGACCACACTATCCCTTCATATGTAGAAGTTTCTGAAACAGATGAACTCTACTTCATCTGTCCCATGTGTCTAGTGCACAAACTGGAAAAGATGATGATGAACATGAAAAAAAAACTTACGATAACATGTTTGATAAAACTGTCCTGGTCTTTGGCTTTGAGTCTTAGAGAAGTTTACATCATCAGGGAAATGGTCTTTCTTGGAGGGAGTTTTGCTCTCACTAGTTTTCCGCCCTGGGGATGTTTTGGGCGGGGCAGTGCCGTTTTTCTCATGTATCCTAGCATGCCGATGCATGTTTCCATTTGTAGTGAAACTCATGTCACAGATCTTGCATTTAAAGGGTCGTTCACCTAAAGAGAAAAATAGGTGTAGACTTGTTGATTTGGCCAAATAGAAAATTAGACTAGTGTATGATTCTTCAGTAAAAAAAATGTAGTTTTGTTAGTAAGCTAAAAGTAAACTTCAATCATTTTTGTCAAGCTATAAAATAAAAAAACTTAAAATGGAGTCTAAACCTAAAAGTTGTGACAAAAAGGTGAAGATTGAACAGGTTTATAGAATAGATATAGAATCTAACAAATACTAAACACTAAACTGAAACATACATATTACATACACGGTTTTTTAATTGACTACACAATACCTGTACCAAAATGTAAACACAAATCGTACACAACAATTGTGAACACGAAAATAGATTATAGACAAAACAATTATGCATGAAAAGCAGCTGACCTGAGTGGACCAACATATGACGGTCCAAAGAACTCTGCGAGCTCAACGTTTTGCCACAGATGGTGCAGGTGTTTGGCGTGGACTGCTGACCACTCTGATTGTGTGAGCGAATGTGAACAGTGAGATCATGGTCGTTGGGCAGCTCTAAACTACACACTGGGCACTGGTATCGTGTTTGCCCATCTGCTGACGATACTGGGAGAATCTGCAACATTGGAAACAAAAGTGAAAGTGTGTTTAACGATACAGAATCTAGAATCTAGTAGCTAGAATGTAAGACCTAAAAATATCTACAATTATAGGTTGGGGGACAGTTTCTTTCAGGTATATCTTCTGAATATAAAATGAAGCATTATACAAATTATTATACCTAGTGGTCAACGGAGCAGTCAGTTCCATCGTGCCCCCCTCCCCCCCCCCCTCGAAAACAGTGCCTGCATTGCCCAGCTAACTATTCTGTCTGGTAACGATTATATATATATATATATATATATATATACCTTGATTGTTTAAAATTTGGTTTCAACTCCCAAAATAAGGTCCCCGTCATGTGACGCCACTGACTGAATATTAATGAAACCCTTACCTTTGTGCCCCTTTTGGTGCTACTCAGTTGCTTGGCGGCGTCAGACAGGCTGAGACCGGATGTGATGCTGGACATGGACGGCGTTGGACTGTTGACCCTGGATGACTCATCAGAGCTGCAATTTTCTGACCCGCCACCTTTGCTGTTGTCCGCCATGGATGATGGGTGGGACGTCAAGGGGGACTCGCCGAGGATTGTGGGTAGGTTTTTCTTCTCAGCAGAGGACAACGCTTTGAGCATAAGAAGTGGGTTGGGTAATCCTCGAAAACTATCAGGTGGGTTGTCTCTCTTTGGAGAGCTCTTTCGTTTTTCTTGAGTCGAAAGGTAATCGGATGAGATAAATTTGTCCGACTTGTTCGCTGGTTCATGTGGACGTTTGCGCATGTTTAAAGTCTTGATGTGTGTTTTAGAAGTGTGGGTTTGAAGCACATTTTGTGCTAATATTATCTGAGACTCATCCTCATCTGGGCAGATAGCTTGGTGTTTTTCTACAATTTGCTGCAAGTTAAGAAGAAACCTCACCAAATTTTCTCCTAAAAGCTCTTCATATTTTGTTCTTTGGATCCAAACGTCTTGAAACAATGCCAGGGCTAAACTTCTGGGACAAACCCCATTCTTGACGGTCATGGTGCCGTCGTTGTCTATAAAATATTCTTCGTTTTCTACCGGTGGTTTCGGCTCAATCCCAGCAGCCAAGTTGCTCGTGCAGATCTGACATTTGGACTTCTGCTCGATATGAGAAACCGCTTGCCGGTGGTGCCAGTGAATGTTCATTGGGGATCTCTTCCGGCGTGCCATGTCGTCAAAGGAGCTGGTTGCTGAAGTGTGTGACGTGGACGGGCTCAGGAAAAAGGGCGGAAGAGCTGCATTAGGTTGAAGAAAAGGTGGCGTAGAGACGGGTAAAGATGATGAGGACGGGAGCAGGAAGTTCGGCGGTAAATATGGTTGTCCTAGGTTGTATTGGAGTGACTGGTGGACCTAGAGATAAATGAAAAATTAGGCAAAGATGAAATTATTCGTAAGTATAACAAGGGACTAGTTTCACACTTATCAGGAAAAGCTACGGGAGACTTGGAGGCACACAGTAGAAAAGCAGCTAACAAAAGCAGGACTATCTTTGGGAGATTGCCCAGAAAATTGTCAAAGACCGGCAAAAGTGGGAAGAGCTTTCTCTGGCGGCCCCATGTGTCTTGGGCACAAAAGGGAAAAGATGAATTATAAAGATGAATTATAAAGAATAACATACTACGAACAAAAAGTACAAAAGTTAATAATGTAAAAGTACTCGATGTATCAATTAGTGGAGTGGATAATCGTGTTGTAAAACATTAATAGTCGTTGCCGTTCTACCTTACGGCTAGAACTCTACTTCACTTGCCCGTGGATCGTCTAGTTCCTCTAACTTGTCTCACTACTGGCCCTAACTTACTGATCCGACCTTTCTAAATACTTCTTTCAATTATTTTACAGCTACCTAAGCAGTAGTAACAAAACACCCTCATCCCTCAACATAACTTCGTAGAAGAACTCACATTTTCAAGAAAAAGTAATCACTAAATGGAACATTCTTAGTGTAGCTTGTAGTATTAACCAGGGTCGCTTAGCAATGAGTGAGATGCCGCTAGACACGCATGGTCAGATAGTTGGCGGTTAATTAAAAGTAAGTGTAAGAAAGTAAGTGTAAGAATGGAAGTGTAAGAATGCAAGTGTAAGAATGCAAGTGTAAGAATGCAAGTGTAAGAATGCAAGTGTAAGAATGCAAGTGTAAGAATGCAAGTGTAAGAATGCAAGTGTAAGAATGCAAGTGTAAGAATGCAAGTGTAAGAATGCAAGTGTAAGAATGCAAGTGTAAGAATGTGAGTGTAAGAGTACGTGTAAGAATGGAAGTGTAAGAATACGCAAGCTAATTGCTTCCAATAAATCTTATCTAACAAACATCGGTCACAATCTCTGCTGACGTGTGACAATAGCCCCCCCCCACCCCCCGTTGTCACATGATGCCCGTGGACTTAGTGTAGCTATCTCGGGTGCCCTATTGTCGACGCGTGTCCAGCTGGACGCCCCGGGGGTGGGTATTGTCCCCCTAGTTCTGTCACCTGGGCTGTAAACAAGGTGACCCGTGCTGTCGCTCTTGTTCTGTAAAGACGCCGCAGGTGCTTTACGTGTACTGACGTAAGTACATGGCTAATCCTGACAAGAAGTAATTAGAAGTATTTGGAGTTATAGAAAGGGAGGCTACTGGTGTAGATAATTGTTTTTTTTTCTTTGGTGTGGGTTGGAGTGGGGATAAAATTAGTTGTAATTTCAAATGTTGTAGCGAAATATTTCAGCTTAATTAAGGTAATCGTTAAGCAAGGAAAAAGTTGCATTTTAAGTCTTATTTAATAAAATCCTAATGTTATTACATTGTAGAGAACCAAAACAAAGATATCAACATATGTGCAATATGAAACGAACGTTATGCTTTTACATTGCTATCCTACAACAGGACATGGTTTCGCTAAAATATTTTTTTTTAAAATGTTATTGAATCTACTATCTTTTCGCTTGCTCTTTAAGGAAAGGGGTATTGGGGGGAGGGGGTGGCCGTCCAGTGTGGGTGATGACGGGGGAGGGGGGGAAACAGCATGGGTTAATGTACACACTCCCAGCTGAAATTCTACTCTCCCCTTCTTCTCTGACACCCACTCGTCATACTGACCGACTGACCGAAACGCCGCCAATTGTAGATTAAATATTTATAGCACCCCCACTACCGATTCACTGTCGTCAGCAATTAGTAAACACTAGGGAGGGAGCCTATGGGGGTGGGGGAGTGGGGGGGGGGGTGGTACTTGATGTCAGAGGTCATATAGTAGGGTCATAAACATGTCACCCGGACCGTCTTGAAGGACCGGCACTAATTGATGCTGAATTGCCGTGACGGTTGGTGTGAACAGTTGACCGGTTGCGTCACCCCAACAAGGCAATGGATGGGACGGGGAAAACCTCTCGTTTGTCACGCAACGTAGAAGGGAAGGTGGGTGGGTGGCTGGGGGGGGGGGGGTAATTCACAGAGGAGATGGTACAATAATTTTTTTTTTAAAAAGGTCACTTTAGGTTTAGTGCTCTTTAAGATGCTTAACCACTATGTTAAAATTAAATTTGTCACCATCTTTTCCCCGTAGCGTCTTAGAGACACGGGGCAGATGAAGTGCAGTTCACCCCCCCCCTCCCCCCCCCCCCCCAAGACTTCGGGGTATAATGGGAAAAGTGTGGTCAGCGCTATGCCCACCCTCCTTGGTTTCCCTAATATGTGTCAGGTATCCGTAAGAGCTGGGTGAACTCAGGTATGTCACAGAGAAGCAGGAAATTTATATTAGTTTTACATTCCACCCCCCCCCCCAATTACTTTTTAAATTGCTAATCCTTAATTAGGATGTCGCGTGATGTTTTGTTAAATGCACAACATCACAACCACTTTGAATCCGTAATAAAGTTAACCCTAGACCGAACCCGAACCCTTTAACATTTCAACCGGACTGCTTTACATTTTCGTTTACTAAAACAATAAAATTACTTTGGTAAACAAGTAAAAATAATATTAAGCCTACTATGATAATTACAGTCTACACATTTTAAGATAGTAGAAGATAATATTCCCAAGTAACCCTCCCCTCCCCCTTACCAACGAAGACGTGAGGAGAGAAGTAAGCATGTCGCCGCTAAACTCCACTGTTTGAAGAAGAAATTGAAAGTTAGGTTGTCCCCCTTTATTATTATAAAATGGCATGTTTAATGCGCCCTGTTTATGCGCGAGAAAATTAGTTATTGACATGTATGGCACGCCGTGTGTTCACTTTTCACGAAATGGGAGCGGAGGAAGAGAAGTGTGTTTGTTTCCACGGCGACTCGATAAGCCGCGCCACCAAAGCATCCGACGCTAACAATAACATAACGGGAAACATTTCATCGGCGCTTTCGCGTTTAATCAAAAGATTGGCAGTTATAGAATAAATGACTTCATGACTTCAAAACTAGTTGTGTAAGTAGCGTGATTATGATATAATCGGATAATAAGATTTTATATATAGGCATATATATATATATATATATATATATATATATATATATATATATATATATATATATATATATTGCAATGTTCCTAAAATATATATTAATACGAATTATGATTTTTTAACAAAGTGTGGAAACGATGAAAAAAAAAATGAAACTCATTACTTTGTATGTATTTGACTATTCTAACATACATATCCTGACAAATAAATGTTTACATGAAATGATATATATCATAGCAAAATAAAAAAAACACCAAAGAATTGATACAGCATCTTGTTTTAGTCCGCAAAGAAAAAATAAACATTACCGAAAAAAGGGGCGCAACTCTACAAAGGGAAACAACCAGGCAAAGCCATGTCTCGGTACCACGATGAAATAGGTGGAACTAAATAGAACTAACCATTTGTTGTCTTTTTAAAGACACATATAAAAAGTCCTTGCAAGTCCAACTTACATATTGTACCTTTTCCGGGTAAAATTCGGTTGAAGTAAAAATACAAAGTAAACAATTTGCTCAGCATTGAACTGGCATCTCATTGTATACGCCGTCACCGTAGACGGACTCTACTTCATCTGCACTGTTTACACACGAAGTCTTGTAAGAAAGTTCTGCCAATCATAAGTGTAAACATAAAAAGGGGGTTTTTGTGTCGGGTTGGGACTTCCCCGGCCTAGCGTAAGACAAGGAAGATATTCCCCAAACATGGTTTACCATCTCTACCACGTGGTGTATAAATCACATCCAGTTTAAATAAACACCCATTTCAAATGTTCAAAATACAAAATTCATACAGTTTCAGAATTTGTTAAACCATTGAACAGTTTGCTGTGTAAAGTCTTTTTTTTTTAATCCAAGCCGTATTTTTTTTTATCGCGAATCTACAAGACGGGAAGTTTGAGTTTATTTATCTTTAATTTGAGATTGTAAACTTTAAAAAAATATATAACAAAACTTGCAGCAGGATGCGCAAACATGGCCGGCATGGAAGAATGTTAGGCGAGGCCGTGCCGTACGCCGAATTTTTAAAAATCGAGTCGGGATAAAGTTATCTCCCATCCCTAAGGGGCAGAACTGATGTAGTACAGGATGTAGATAAGGGCCGTAACCGATTAGGAACACAAGATTGCGTAGATTTTTCACGCGTGGTGTGAACGATACATCGCCCTGAGTGTTCGTGTGGACCAAAACGTAACATTTAAAAACTTTCGAATGAAAATGTGTGACTTCACAAGTAATTAGTAAACTTGGGGGAGGGGGGGGGGGGGGGAGGGAAAGAGGGGAGGGGGAGAATGTGTGACTTCACAAGTAATCAGTAAACTTTATAAGCACTTTATTTACACTTTATTAAATCTTTTACATCCAAAGTATAATTGATTATAATAAATTATAGTAATTATAATAATGAAATAAATAAGATGTATACCTACTGAAATACAACTGGTTATTTAATTTGAGTCAAATAGAGTGAGCTCCCCATGGTAAAAAAAAATGCGAACCACCGTGAAATCGAGTATTTTCTTTTTTTATTTTTAATTCCATATCCTAAATTAGAATGTACACATGATAAAGTTTTATTTAACAAACCACACCTCAACCCCCCTTTTTGTGTCTTGATATAAGATAACCCTCGTCCTAACCCAAACCCACGAACACCTCAGCGATAAAAGGACCACGTCTAGCCTTCGAGGTGAAATTCCACAAGGGCAGCGATGTGTTGGGGGGGATGGAGCAAGGCCTTGGATGTGAAAAGATGACACAGGTAGGTTATCTATCCCTCCCCCACCCCTGGAAAATAAAGTGTCCTACAAGTTTATGACAAGGCGCCGAGGGGGCAGGTGATGTGAAACTAACACAATACGGTCGCCACAGTGGAGTAGTGTAAGCAACAGTTGCTTCCCTTGACGTCACGCAGCGA